AGTGTACCCAGAATCAGGGATACCCTGGGTTCCTCTAATTTCTGTTGTCTGGTCAAACCAAAGTACCCTCAAGACACGGACTTGCCCTCGAGCCTAAGTCCCAAACATGTCGTTTTCAGGCGGCGCACTACTTGTGGCCGCCTGACAACGGTCCCCTCTCACCTTTCTCCTTCAATGTTCTGATCCACTCGCGTTCTTCCTTGTAATACACTTTCTTTTCCTAAGTGATCAGAACTGGCACTGGTCGTGCTTTCTCCCCTACTTTCTTATACTTCCTCTTGGAGCTTACGCCGAGCTTCCGTCCCCTAAAAAAAACTCTTGCCTGACTGATGGCAGTGATTCCTCCATACGAGATTCATTTGGGCGATAAACAAGATGCATGGTTCCTGCACCTTCCTTGTCAACCACAACCTCCATCAGGGCCTGTACCAGGCTCGGATCAATTGTAGGATGGCTTGCTGCAAAATCGAATGCATGCGAGATACTAGGCAATGCCAACAAAAATTCATGAGGATCCTTTTCTTCATCGATCGCCTCTTTCTCCCTCCTCAACTTCTAAGATTCTAAAAAGGTATATGATTCGGGATTCAACTGGTTCCTTGAATTTGCTGGTCCGGTATTTGCGCACTTTACCACTTCATAATAGTCGCAAACCGGATCGCATAAAGCTACAAACATGTCGCCGTCATGCTTGTTGAAGATTATGCTCTCTGTGCGACATTGAAAAGATCTTCCCAAAAACACTTCGTGCTCAACCTTTGACAATATATAAAAGTATGATCTCGCTTTTACTTTCCCAACTGTGACCATCACGCCACTAGCCGTACCGCAAAATGGTGTTGCCCCGCTGGCTCCAATCAAATATCCAAAGTCATTGCGATTGATCTGAAATCCAGCTTCAATTGCATGCCTCTCCCTCATGATGCTCATTTCGGCCCCATCGTCTATGAGAGCCGAAAACTCTCCATGGCCGATTTGAACTTTTATGAGGCATGTGGCCACGCATCGCCAGTCCATCTTTGTGCCAGGAGGTGCCCAGTTAGCTTCTGGAGAGATAATCTCACTCAGCTTAACTGTCATGACTTTCTTCCGAGTCATGCGTTGCTTGAATTCCTCGCGAAGCTTTGACGATACTGCAAGAATCTCCTTCAAGGTAACCAGATCATGCCGACTTTCCAGAATACGATCCACCAGCTGTTCAAAATCAATCCCTTGTTCAACAGGAATTGAGTACACGTTCTTCTTTTTGCGAGGTTCTTCTTCCTCGACCTGGGTCTTCCCTGCTTCCGACGCCCTTTCCATAGCTCTTTGCTTTGCTAGCAGTTCATCCTCTGCTCGCAATCTTTCATCCTCCTCCTCATCATCCCCTTCTTCTATCTGAATAGGTTCTTTTTCCTTAGGTTCCTTTGAATTTTCTCCTGGCGCAGACTGCGATTGTGAGGTTTTCCTTCCTTTTCTTGTCTGCACCATGACGGTTGGCATCCCTCGCTTGAGTACAGGTCTGGACATCATCATTGGCCGTATCATTGGCATTACTTCCTGCGCCGAAGCGGCTGCAGGTACAGACCCGTCCTGACCTTCTTTCCCCCATCCACCAAAAAAGAACACATTAGGAAGGTTGGGTCAGACTCTATCCATGTCAACACATAATTGAATAATGGAATCTCGACATTTGTCCAGTTTCCTGGTTACCTCTCGCGCCCGATGAGCGATGTCTTCTTTTATTTCCTTCAACTTTTTTTCGTCACACCCACCAATCTCCAGAGAAGTCATTGTTTCTTCTAACTCAAAAAGACTTGCTTCTTCAGGAGAATCTAGGCGGAATGTGGCCGGAAGAGGACGGCCCATCCGTCGAAAAACCTCTTTTCTCATTCCTCCTTCAATATCCTGATCGATGAGATTTCCCTCGAAGTTAAAGACTTCTCCTCGAATCGTCGTGAAGACGATATGGTCATTTTCGTCCTTGGCGAGAATCTGGCAGAAACGAATAACGTGCCCCTTCAAATCGCAATATTTGCAGACGTATTCCTGCCAGTTCCCACGCCCGCCTCCGTTTCCGCGGCCCCTAACACGGCCTTCACCACCCTGTGGTTGAGTCTGTTGACCTTGATTTTGTTGTCCTTGATCAACCTGTCGCTCCCCGCTTCCATTTCCTCCGTTCTTGCTGCTTTCTCTTTGTTTACGAGAAGTACCTTGCCCTCCTCTTATCTGGTTCAAGGTTTTCCTCTCAGCCTTGGTCAACTTATGAGGGGTTTCCCTTTCCTCCTCGCTCTCACTCTCACTGCTACTTTCTTCAGTGACAGGCTCCTTCCCTTTTCTCTTCCTAGTTTTCGCCTTAGTCATCATCACTTGAAGCTTCAACCGCTCTTCTTTCATGCTGGTCATCATTTCCTTCATGTCAGATAAGGTCTTATAGACTTCCCTGTCCTTATCTGTTCCCAACTGTATCCTCTCTCGATTCTCCTTCACCTGTTTCAGCAATCGGTAGAGGATCTGAATCAAAGTTCCCGGCCAATAAATTCTCTCGAATTTTTGACCAATCATACCGCTCTTTCATTCCCTTCACCAATTTTAGTTGCCCCACTTCCGTGAAATTATCCAGGAAGATGCGGCAACGATCCTTGTCTGGAAGGTCAGGAACTAACCTTGCCACCCGCTCGAATTCAGTAAGGAGCTGCTTTGTTGTACCAAAGCTTTTCCGACTAACCTTCCTCAAATCGGTCAAATCCAACAATTGATCGCTCAACTGGTACTTTTCTAGCAGCTTCCTTTTGAATTCTGCCCAGTCCAGCGAATCTTGTACCAACTCCTCCACCTCTTCCTTGTACTGGATCTTGCAGTATCTCTTCACCATTTGCAGCATCTTTTCATTCGACCATTCGCAGCAACTTCCCAATTGCTCGAACTTTTCTGCCCATCCCGAGACGTTGTTACCATCAAACAATGGAACGTCAATCTTCGGGATTTGATCCTTCTGGGACTGCTGAATAATCCTGGCAAGCTCCCGAACGTCATTTGTCCTCTCGTCCTGATTGTCATTGTTATTAGCCATCTTGAGTGAAGAAAAACAACAACATATTAACAGAAATCAGTTAATCCTTCTGCATAAATAATATCTCATAATTCTGGGATCAAATTACTGATTTTTTCCGTGGTCAAACAAAGAGAAGAAAATAACTTTTTTACTCCATTAATCACCCAAGTGTCCTTCCGCTAGGGACAACGGTTGTTTGTCGTTATCCCCGGCAACGGCGCCACCTGTCGCGCGCATCGTCCCTCACGTGAAAACGAGGGCCCTCCCGGCCATGTCACGCAAGAGTTAACCTAAAAACACATCTTTCAGAGACAACTCGGGAACGACGCATATTGTTTTGTGAGCCGCCGAGACGGACACGGTTGCTTCGCTCCTTCGCCGCTCTAGCCGAGTGCGCCAGTTATACATCCCACGGTCCGCTACGACAGGATAGGTTCCAGCGGGGCATAAGCTTGCATCCCTAAGGGGCTGTCACCACCCTTAGGGGCGTATCCCTACCGAGCTACTGATCCACATGCGAAGGCTTTTATGTGCAATCGCAGAGGTAGGTCAGCCGAGGGGGTTTGCTCGTCTCGCTGCAGTATAGAAATTGTTTGACTAAACGCCGAATGAACCCGTGCATCGTTCGTTCCCTGGGCGCTGATCTCCAAGTACGAAGTGTACGCCGGTCGACTAGGACATTCTCAACCAAATGTGAAAACGATCCTTAGTCCCTAGCAATCAAACAACAAGAATCCCCATAGTTAAAACAAAATCACACAATCCAAATCGTTGACTTGATGAGTTTGTCTGCCAAAGTGTCTCTTTTTCAACCTGTATGACTGAAAGAACTTTTATATTGTCGTTCCAAGTTTATTAATTTAAAGAAATAAATTAAGAATGATTTTCTTATCATGACTACTGAAACTTGTCATGAATAGTTTCTGTAAATAAATATCACTGGCACCATGCAGATCAACAAGTGATCTGGTTTCTGGTTGATGTTTGAACTCCCGATTCGAGCGCGCTTCCGTACCATATTTAATTATTTTGGAGGAGCGAGTAATAACCTTGTTGGTCGCTTTACCCTCCTGTACAATAATTACTCTTTCTGTTCCACGAATGATGGAGTATCCATCTCTAATGCCAAGTTAAGCAACGCAGAAATATTTCATCTTCCGCTGCTTTGCTTGACCACTTTTTCAGACGTTCGCTTTTCACTCTATCCAGCTTATTTTTATGCGAACGATTACCCCTTAATGCATAAGCATGATAGTGAAATCATCGGGGTAATCCGAATACTATCCATCCGGCGGTCCTAACTACATAAAGTATTTTGTTTTTGTTTTTAGATTACCTCGTGAAACAATTAGTTATATGGTTTCCTCAACAGGACTGAGTCCATGCAAAGTGTTTTCTGAAATCTGAGTAAGATTTCAGAAGACGATGTCTAATCCTGGTAAATCTCTCGCTCGTCGCGCACCTATGCCTCTAATAAATCCAAACGTGTCAGTTCGTCGTCGTCGAAAATCAAAGTAGACCTTCGTCCATATTGCAAGACTCTAACAATCCGATTATTATAGAAGGAGGTCATCCGAGAGGCTTGTCTCAAAACTATAACTCGAAGAGGTCGACTAAGTCCAAACAGGTGTCGAATCTCTGTGTCTCGAATCCGGACGACGCCGAAACGCCTACCGGACGAGGTAATCTTGATACTCACAATGACTCGAAAGAGGCATTGGAGGTTACTCGCGCGGTGGAAATACAAAGTATATCCGTAAAGTTCGTCGGGAGTCCGAGCCGTGTTGGCTCGGAAGTCTGCGCGAGTAGTAGGGAAAAATCTCTCGCCATTTTGAAGCAGTCCAATGAAGCCGATCCAGTTGATAGAAGATCCATCCCGTACTCGTAAAAATCGTGCCGCACTCCTGATGAGATCCTCCTCATGTGTATCACGAACCAGCAGATACCTCGGGATCGTCAAGTCTCGTCGTGCTCCAGGCATCTGCGTATCAGAACGAATTCAAATCAGTTACGTAAAAATTCCTTGAGTTCTTCCGCTTCATTTTCCAATTCATCGTCATATAATGCATCAACCCTTATTATTGCGTACTTATTGGCACGTATCCGCTCCGCGTAGTATATGCCAAAAAATTGGCCTTGTCGCTCGTTCAGCCAAAGCATGTAACGGACGTACACCAACCTTATTTCAGGGATTTCGTCCACTCGTGTGTTGATCTCATAGGGCTGCAACACCACCAGCTTCATATTGACGAAGTGACGCTCAGGCAATGGCGGTGCGAACTCGTAACGAAGAATATCCAGGCCGTTATCACTCCTGAAAACAAGTCGTCCGAGGGGTCTTTGCGCACTACCACCGCAAAATCGCGGAACGTCCTCCTCAGAATATAATTCTGACGGATTATAAATAAGTCTGCCTACCCTTTGTACCCTCACTCCATCACGCCTTTGGAGTTCAACTCTCTCCGCTGCCGCATCACGATTGTTGAAAAGGAATAGTTCCGTTGTTCCCATAGCCATCTGAAAGAAAAAGGAAGCCGAATGTGATTAAGTTAAAACTAAGTATCACTAAAACATTTGTCTTCCTTCTGGCCTGTGCTTCTTATGACACTACCAACCTCGTCAGGAGTATCTAAATGTACTCCATTCAGCTAGTGAAACATGAGTCGGGTTGCTTGAGGCGCCAACTCTCCATACGTTAGTGGTACCTAGGGTGACCACTTAAACAGGATTGCTAAGGCAGTTTTCCTTTTTCGCAAGGCGTCAAGAAAATAATTTTATTCCGTGTGGATGCCTTTTCCATTACCCTAAGAGGTGGTCTGGGATACTCCTCCTCCTCGCCCGAGTACAAAACTCGGATCTCAGAAGTCGGACCGTCTCCACCGAATCGGCATGGTACCCCCCCGCAAGGCGGCATGGTACCCCACCGCAAGGCGGTCCACTCTGAGTCGATAACAGGGCTGGCCCCTAAGGCAACGAACCCCTTTCCTAGATGCCTCCTAAAAAAATGAAAAGACACCTACACGTCAGACAAGTAGAATCTTGCCGCCTAGCGCCAAAATAAACTTAGACGAAGAAAGAGGAATCATAGAAAGATAGCATCATTCAGACTAACAGACATAGATGGAAGAGGGTTATTCGGGAAAGAATGGGTAACCTCAGAAATAAGTCTAAACCAAGTTGAATTTCTCTTTCTTATGCTCGCTTCGTTATTCGTCGTCTTCTTTTTCTTTTATTTACAAATAGAACATAAGCACAAAAATGAAACGTCAACCATTCTTTCACCGTCATCACCCTTATCCATTTCAGTCCATTTGCCTTACCTGCAGTCAAAACCCAACGATACACAGACCACCATGCAATCCTTTTCTATTGTCAGACTCCCTGTCATACACGCACATACACACATTCTTTTTCCCTTTTCAATGAACATTCAGTAAAACAGGTCAAACCAAGTGTGGGTCCACTCAGATGTGAAGGGAACTAAGTCAATTTAACTGACTGACCTTGAGTGAAATTGAAGAAACAACCCACTTAGGAAGACCGTGTAAATCACACTCCAGAGAAGACGATCGTCACAATGAGTCGCCCGCAAAACAATCCACACCACTCCTTAGAACAATCACTTGTCGCGACACCCTACGTCGCCGCCGTAAAATTTTCGCAGCGCTCCCGCACCACGGCTGGTTAAACCGGAGTCACCGTCGAAAGATTCCGACAGCGCTACCGCACCACTGCCGAAAACCCGGAACCGCCGCCATAGAAAACCCGGTGGCGCTTCCGTACCACTACTGAAAAACCAGGCCTGCTGCCGCAAAAAAACCGGCAGCGCTACCGTACCATCACTGAAAAACCAGGCTTGCCGCCACAAAAAACCGGCAGCGCTTCCGCACCACCACTGAAAAAAACAGGCCTGCCGCAACAAAATTTCGGCAGTACTCTCGTACTACCGTAGTAAAAGTCTGTGCCGCCGCAGCAAAATTTCGGCAGCACTCTCGTACTACCGTAGTAAAAGTCTGTGCCGTCGCAGCAAAATTTCGGCAGCACTCTCGTACTATCGTAGTAAAAGCATGTGCTGCCTGCCGTAGTACCGCTGTGCCACTGGGCCTGTCCCGTGGGACCAGCACTTGGGAAAAAGGGGGGGGGAGAGCAGAGTGCTCCCTGCCTTGGCTATGGCTGCCCAGTCCTCCTCCTGGTGCTCCTCTGCAGTCCTCCAGCTCCTCCTCACGTTGCCTCAGCAGCAGCTCCAACAGCCACAACACTCAAGTGTGTCAGTCACACACTCGCAGCACGAGTGCTTTGTGTGGCAACTACGGGGCAGCTACCTTTTTTATATTGGTTGAAGAGAGTTGGACGTCACTCCAGCCCCCAGGCAAAAACGCGGGCTCACAGTTAGCCCTTGATCTGGCCTAGATCCAGGGCTGACTGTGGCCGCACCACAGCCACAACCTTAGTGTGGGGCAGTTTCTTTA